GGATTTTAAAGTTGAAAATGTGGTGTCTTCTCTTGGGACAAAGACGAACCCAAAATGGGAGAGGAAAAATTTTATATTCTATCTCCCAAAACCGAAGAGGAAGAATTTTATATTCTATCTCCAGTTGCCAAGGAAACTCGAAGTGGGATCTCCACCCTAAGAATCCAGAAAAGTGAAATTAGGAGTGGGATCTCCACTCCGAGAATCGGAAAGATTCAAGCAACCCTAACTTTTATAGGATTGGTTGCTTAATCCAAGAAAAGAATTCCTCATTTATTGAGGTGAAACTTCGATATCGACCCTAACTTTTATAGGTTTGGCCAAATAGGAAAATATGGAAGTCTTTCGTTTATCGAAAGGATATTCTGGTCTTGGTCCTAACTGTTTAAAGGTTTGACCAAGATAGAAATTTGAGATGATCCTAACTGTTTAAAGGTTTGATCATTCAATTTGTGGACCTCTCGTTCATGAAAGGAATCGAGAGGGGATTTTGGTTGTGGTCCTAACTGTTTAAAGGTTTGACCAAGATGGAAATTTGAGACGATCCTGACTGTTTAAAGGTTTGATCGTTCAATTTGTGAACCTCTCGTTCATGGAAGGAATCGAGAGGGGATTTTGGTTGTGGTCCTAACTGTTTAAATGTTTGACCAAGTTAGAGTGTGAGTGCAAATCACAATGGGAGTGTTGATTCGTACAAATCACTCAAAGTGGGTTCTTGGTGTTAAGTGACAAATACTTAACATAGAGGGATTTAACAATTATTAAAGACCATGAGATTAAAATTCCGAGTACTCTGTCCGGACTCAAACAATGGGAGGGTTGAGTGCACAGACGTAGCAAGAGTTTGAGTGGATTCAACCAAAATGAATTTTGGTGGTCCCATCGTTAATTAGTCTAATCGATGGGGGATTTTTGTGGTGAAAGACTGTGAATCGTCAAACACCAATGGGAGTTTTATGAGGGAAGATTGATCCAACGAAGTGATCGAATCTAGTCTCAGCAAAGGAGTGTTCGGAAATCACAGTGGGGATTTAGTTTTTTTTTATCATTTTATTTGTAATGACCGGGTTATCCCTAAGAAAGCTACATGTAGCATTCTTCCGGGAACTTCCTGTTACATGAATCATCCACCCCCAGCTTTCTTTGCAGAACTGGGTCTGACAATATACTCAGCTACATGACCGGGTTATCCTTAAGAATATTACATATAAAAATTCTCCAGGAACTTCCCGTCAACGGTAGGAAATAGTTTAGAATCATATACCTATTAGAGTATTGAGAAGCAGTTTATACTCGTATACTCTTCGGAGTGTTGCCATTCTCATTTGGCTTATCCTAGCATTATGACGCCGGCTTCAACCAAGGTTTGGATGCTATTTTTGAGAGCAAAGTAATCCTTGGTGGGATGAAGGATCCTCTTGTGGTACGCACAATACTTTGGATCCGCGATGTTGTCAGCTTCCTCCTGATCTGGGATAGGTGGTAGCTTGATCTTGTTATTTTCAAGGAGGGACTCGAAAATGGCTGGAACATCTTCGTCCTTGAAGGAGTACTCTTTTTGGAGTTTCGGGTCCGAAGCCTTTTGCTGTCTTCGGGATTACTGTTGTGACGTTTGATTAGCATCAACAGCAGCTGTAGGTGCCTTGCCCTTACCACGGGAGGCGAAGTTCGAGTTCGGAGGATTAGCCGTCGGTTGGCTCCTCTCGGCCTTCTTCCTTCAGAGGAAGCGTTCGGCCCGCTCTCCGCGCGTCTTCAACTCTTTCCATGTGTTAGACGGTGCAACTCCCATAACTTCCAATATCTCAATAGATAGGTTGTTATGATATGTTTGGAGGATGAAGTCCTCCATGATCGGATCTCGGCAGTTCATCGCTTTATTCCGAAAACGTTTGATGAAGTCGTCGACCGTTTCTTCGTCTTCCTGTTTCTCCTCAAAGAGTGTCCTGATGGATATCTCGGCGTCGTCGTCAAAGAAGTTACCGAGGAATGAGCTCTCCATATCATCCCAGCTGTTGATAGTTCCAGGCTTGAGACGGCGGTACCAATCGAAGGTAGGCCCGCGAAGGGTGCTGATGAATGACCAAACTATCAAGGCTTCATTGCCAGAGACCATACCCCAGTGGGACTTGAAGTAGATTAGATGTTGAGTAGGGGAACCTTTCCCATCGAATGGCGTAAAGTTGATCAGGTTGAACTTCGTCGGGTACAGGATCGAATCCCACTTTCTTGGGTAAGGACACGGAATCTCGATCTTCTTTACCTCTCGATCAGACATCAGAGCGTTAATTTTTCTCTCGAGATCCTTCATCTTTTCGTCCTTGTTTGTATCATGCTTCGGACGATTTGTGAGAGGAACAACGGGGCCACCCCTAGTGTTGTCATCATTAGCGGGACCACCCCCAGTGTTGTTGTCTTCAGTAGGGCCACCCCCAGTGTTTTGGTCAACGGGAGGGTTCTTAGTATTGAGACGTTCATCCGTTTCTGAATCGCTACCTGCTTGGTCAGCAAGGTTGCGATGACTGAATTTACCTATCTGATTCGACAAAGCCCGAATCTGTTGGTCATGTTCTTCCCTCATCCGTAGCATAGTCATTTCCATTTTAATCTTGAATGCTTGCTTCTGCTTGGCTAGAGCATCCTCGACCATTTTGGCTACTTCCTCGGTGTTAATCATAAACACTTCGCGGGATTGTCCCGGACTGGATACCGTATTATCAGAAGCGATTGCCGAGTTAGCATCCGATGCTTCATCATCCGAGGATAACCCTCTTTGCATTCTCTGGTAATCCCTGCATCTAGTGGTCCCTGCATGTAGCCGAGTCAGACGATGCGATACGAGGGGGTCGGAGCTAGAAGGCCGAGTCGACTTTCCCTTATCAGCCATATTTACCATAACTTTTGAAAATTCGTCACCTTGAACGACCGATTGTTTCTTGCGAAAACATTTTGGCTTGGACTTAGTCGCTCCGTTAGAGATCCTCTCAAATACCGAGATCCTCTGTGGAGCGGTCTTGGGGCAGCTACACGCTGATAATACTGTCCTAATTAGTTTGGTGCACGGGCAGTGAGATTCTGTTTCTCGGGTACTTCTCTTCCGAGACTTGTTCGTACCCCCAGCCCGATAGTATAACTCGTCGGTCATATGATCGGAGCAACCTATCTCGTGTTGGCACGACTTTTTAGGTATAACGTCGTCGTCTGACGAACATGTTTACTTCTGAGAGCTTGCTGCCTTATTGGCGTTCTTAAGAGTCATGTATTTGGAGCTGCGCTTTTGGGAGCGCGAACTCTTGACGGGCTCTTGGACTTCAATTCGTCGTCCGAGGTGGTCAAGTGCAAGGGTTTTCCTATTATAGGAAGGCTCTGACTTGTTGCGAGGGTGTGTGTGACCCCCAGCTCGAGTGGTTGTTCGGGGTTCAGTCACCGGACCCAGGCGTTCTTTGATCAGAACTTTGCCTCGATCCTCGTGCAAAGGACCCAGGCGATCCGTCATCCTCATCTTGAAACGGGACAAGTTTCTGTGGTCGTGAGGCTTCACCGGAAGTGCGAAATTCATCGGGACAGAAACATGGGCTGTCGGAGGCTTAAACGGGACTGCGGGAGGTGAACCGGGTGCGAACCAAACCCAACCGCGTGCGAACCAAACTGAACCGGGTGTGAACTGGCACGAACCACCACTTGGTGGCTCGGTTTTGGCCGAGCCACCAGATGGTGGTTCGCGTATTCTGGCAATTCCGGGCGCTGTTTGACTTTTTGTCGACGCCGTTTCGGACTTTGGTTTCCAGAGTTGGCGTGGTTTCTATGGCCTCTTGATCATCTCTTTTTGCTTCAGCTTCTGCGCTTCTCGCATGAGAATTCGTGCATGCGCAATCAAGGCGCAACGCTTCTGAATGCGTTACTCGAGGGTTGAGCGGGTCTGTTTGACTTGGATCCATTCATTCGTTGTTGGTTTGGAGGAGAGGTTATTCATTTGCTGCTGGGACACTCGATGCCTTCTGCGTTTCAGATCCGCTTCATAGCAGATCCTGTTAACAGACTCCAAAGCTTTGGCGAATTAGCGCAAGAGGCGTTGGCGCTGCCTTTGGCGAGCTCTTTTCGATAAAGTTGGCGCGCCTTCGGTACTCAACTCCTTGATTGAGGAGGAGTTCAGATTTGTAAGTCTGACTTCATTGGAGACCGGAAGTACGTTGCGAGGTCCAACTGCTACAGCAACGGGGACGTTGATCCTTTTGTGCCTGCGAGGGGCGGAGGATCTGGAGGAGGAGGACGACAGATACTCCTCGAACTTTAGTTGGTCGGATTCGTACTCGACCTCTTCGTCAATCGGGATCTGGATCCGTGGTTGCGACACGACAGCTTCGGCATCGAAGCTGTTGGCTCCCACTGTGGTCGCCAGTTTGTTTGGGTCAAAAATCGTTGTTTTCATTGTGATTGAATCTATTACAACTTTAATCGTTTATAATAAACTCAAATAAAAAGTTGATCTTTTTATAAGATCTCCTTATATAATGAAAATACAAAAGATATGACTCTTGTCAAACAGCACAACAAATGTTTATCACCCGCTGCTTGCGTGAGAACTTTGCATGTGTCGGGGACGTTAATATCCATGGACCGTCGCGGATCAGATCCGGTTGACAGATTGATGATCAAAGCTCTTACTTCATGAAGGAAGTAATTGCTGCAGCGATGATCTCGACCAAGCGAGATCGCGACTCTTCTCGAGATTTAAGACTAAGCTTAAATCCGAAGGAATAGGGGACGGGTTTTGGATCTCTCGAACTCCACTCTTTATGCACAGGAGATCGCCAAGATCTGCTAACCCTTACTATAAATTCTTGGCTCCACTCTCCAATTCGGCAGCGTTTCTCCCTCTTGATGTCCGCCCCGAGAAATGAGCACCCGAACTCGTATTTATAAGCTTCGGGAGCGGGTGTTTGGATAAGAACGAGGGATTCCTCCTTATCTTCAGTTGAGAACTGAATAACCATAGTATCAGATCAGTTGGGACGCTCAGGAACAAACAAATCCTGAAAGAATCCGTGAAAACCGAAAAAACAGACTTTAAGTCAAAATGGCCGATTCCGCGCTCGGCCACCTTGGTGGCTCGGCCGCCGAGCCACCAATTGGTGGCTCAGCCTTGGCCGGGCCACCAAATGGTGGCTCGGCCCGTAGCCGAGCCACTGGTCTGGCCGGGTCGCTTTGGCGTGACTCGGCTGCCAGGGCCTTTATCGGTTATTTCCAGGTTTTGACTTGTTGCGCCGTTATGCGTATTTTATCATTTCGTTGACTTGTACGCTATTTTGGTGGCTGATGAGTATACGGGTCACTTAATGGTGGCCGATGAACACACGGGACACTTGGAGCTGGCTGACAAGTGTACGGACCACTTGGAGGCGGCCGGTGAGTGTATGGGCCAGTCGGTTCGTCGATTTGGTGGCCGATGGGCGTGCGGGCCACTGGATGGTGGCCGGTGAGCACACAGGATGACATTTGGTTCACCGATTTGGTGGCTGGTGAGCGTGCGGGCCACGTCATCAATAGTTCATTGATTCGCTTGTCGGTGTTAGATAATTCTATTTGATTTAGATAACGGTGTTCATCACCTTCTCTCTGTTTCGAGCTGTGTGTGGATACCTATGGGCATTTTTAGATGCCTACACATGTAGCAAGGAAAGATGTATCCCTTGTTTATATTGATACTAATTCACAATTAGCGGACATCTTTACCAAGCCTCTTAGTCAAGAAGATTTTTGTCGCATAAAAAATAAGTTGGGAATGTGCATTCTTTGATTGGTTGTTTTAATAATGTTGCTTGATATTGGTTTTAGGATTATCACTTTTATATCTCAATATTTGCTTTATATTCATTGTCATAGCATGTTTAAACTCACATGGATACTTTGTGTAAGTGGTTGGGAGAGACCGGGGTCAATTCCAAGAGGAGTGGGTTGGTAGTAATGCCTAGGGAGAGGTCGTAAATCCAAACACTTGAGGAATGTGTCACGGGTAGGTCAACACTTGTCGGGTATCTTGTGGGTTTTTGCATGCATATTGTCTCATCCTCCCTTTTTGATGGTTCCAAAGGGGGAGAAACATCTTCTCATTTGTGCACATAGTTAGGGGAAGAGAGCCATATAGATAGGGAGAGCTACTATCTATATTATAAGAAATTATTCTATTTTATTTGCTCTTGAATAATGGTTGTTTGTGATCATCAAAAAGGGAGAGATTGTCGCCCTTGTGTTTTGATGATGATTTACAATCACCATTACTGGTGCTAATTGCTTGTTGAACTATATTGTGTAGATTATAATTTTTCAAGCATATTAGTGCCAACGTTGGAAGATTGGATGGAACAAAATGCTACAACGATGATATCCAAGGAGGTGGGGGCATTATGATGAAGTAAAATTTTCAAGAGCACAATACAAAAGTAAAGCTTCATCAAAATATGGGCATATATCAGGACTAAAGAATTGTATTCATATATGTAAGATATTTGTATTTTTATTTCTCTCTAGCTAGTGCTTAATGTAAATAAGTTATATATTAAGTTGATAACATTTGAAGCTCATTGGGTTCACCCACACACTTTCACAAAAACATTATTTTTGGACCATTTTGAAAAAATAGTAGTTTTTACAAATGGAAAATGCAAATTAGAAAATTCTTTTTATAACATGTTCATTTATATGTTTACAAACATTTCCCAAAGTTTTATATTTTTTAGAATTTATTTACAATTTTTTAAAGACCTATTAAAGTCAAATTTCAAACATGCATAGTCCTTATGCATGATCATAAGTCGACTTATAGGTGCAAATAAATAGACTTATGATCTTCTCTAGAATCAGCAGATAGTTTCTGCTGAGTCGACTTATAAATATGGCAAGTCGACTTATATGTTATAAGTCAACTTATATACTGTAGCAAGTCGACTTATAATACTGTAACAACTATTTTCTGACTATGCTAAAATTATGAGATTTTGTCATTTTTTTGGATTTGTGCTTGGGTTTGGGGCTTCTATAAATACCAACCACCCTCATAACTTCTGTAATCAATTCAGCAAGTAAACAAATCCCAAGTTTGATATTCTAAGTGTTCTTGAGCTCAAACTTTCAATTTTCTATTTCTCTTTTGTGTTCAAGTGCTTGTTTTTCTCACATCCTCACTCCACAACCCTTGAGCTTTAAATTGTTCTTCACTTAATCCTTGTCATAGGATTGTTGTGAGAGTTTTCTTTTTTCTTTTGTCATTGTGTGGTGAGATTAATCTCGAGGAGATCAAGTGTGTGGATTGTAAGATCTCAAGAGGAGATTATTGTGAAGAAGTTCCGGCTTCCAAACCGGGTGTGATAATGTAATTCTCCTCGAGAGTGAGGAGCGGGAACATAGGTCGGTGGACCGAACCTCGTGAACATATCATGTGTCGCCATCGGCTAATTATTCTCTTAACTCATCTCTCTTTTATTGCCTTTGCATTTATTTTAGTTGGTGTGCTGCTTTGCAATATTTTAATTACACATTTATTGTCTCATTCCCTATTCACTAGGGCTGAGCACGGTTCGGTTCGGTTTGGTTTTTAACAAAATTTGAACAACCGAACCGAACCGCCCATTATTCAAAACCGACCCGAACCATTGCAAGTCGGTTCGGTGCGGTTTGGTGCGGTTTGTTCGGTTCTAACTTCATCAAACTTTGAGTGTTTTGCCTGAACTATAAGGAGCATTTTATAAGGAGCATTTGCGCGTGTAGGAAATGAACTAGCGTCTTACCTGAACTATAGAGACTCTGAGTGGTTTGCCTCTAATGCCGACTGCTACAGAAGCTAACGCTATTACAGCAGGACCAGTAATGAACCTTATCAGCGTTCCAATTGTTGCATGTTTCTTTCCACAGGCTATTATCCTTGGTTGCAAAGCCATGAACAATCCTAAGAAGACAATTTTATTTCACATCCTCATTTCAAATGTGATCCACAAAATCTTTAATCTTTGGTACAAATATCACCTAAACTAAACATAGCCATTCGCAATTCAGCATTTGATAACATTGTCACTGAATTCTCCAGTATAGCAGGCTTCTGTATTCCCCATCTTTAAGTATGGTTTGTGCGAAACTTTACATAAAGGCATTTATGTGGAGATTGAAGTAGAATAACTTATGTTTATGAGCTAATTTCTCAGAAACCAAACATATAAAATAATGCAACTTTGCATCATTAATTTATATTATCCTACTAAAAAAATGACTCACCTGTTGCAACCTAGAGTGATAACTGTCCTCACGATCCCATCCAGCTTCAACCTCCTCGTAACATTCACCGACACCAGCACCGGAGTCCCGTCACCCCCCAACTCCGCCTCCTTTGCCCTCCTGGGCGGTAACCTGATCCCCATGGCCGAAGCCCTCGACTTCGAAACATCAGTAGAGAGCCTCGCAAGCCCTAGCCTCTCCAGCGTGGTACAGTAGGCTGGGAAGTGGGTATTCGGTCGGTTCGGGTAGTTCGGGTTGAAAATTTTTCAACCCGACCCGAACCGCCCTACTCATAAAACCGAGTTTTTCGGGTCAGTTCGGGTCGGCTCGGTCGGTTTTTTCGGTTTGGACCGAACCATGCTCAGCCCTACTATTCACCCCACCCTCCTAGGGTATTTCAATATCCTCTAGTGGAATCAAAAGAAGTGTTGGTACAAAACAAGCAAAATAAAGAAATAAACATAATAGATATGATATAAAAAGAGATATCTCCTAAATAAAAATCATGTCTCAACTGAAATACATCTGATATATGGAATAAAAATATCTCAACGTGAATCAACTAGAAATCATACTAAGGTACACTGCCTTTACAATATGAAAATAAAACTCTAATGTCTGAAAGAAACTATAAAACTACAGTGGAGTCTCTAATAATAAAATCATGCGACGGTGACTATACCAGAACTCCGTCATCCTGCAGCTCTCCGAAGCTCTGAACCGCCTGAAAGAAATTAAAATCAACAAAAAGAATAACAACAAAAACGTCAGAGCACTAAAGCAAGATTACCTCCATCCACCTCTAGGGGAAGGGCTGCTAGATGAAGTGGATGCTCTATCTATTAAGCATAATCTACCTAGATTATTTTCCCCGTATCTAGTGGAATTAATATTTAGACACCTACAATGCGAGACGTAGTATGTCAAGCAAAATAATTCAAATAAGGAAACCATCATGTATATACTATTGTCTCAAATTGTAGATATCTAGACATTAATACCGAACTAAGAATAGACAACCTAAATGAAATAAATAATTAGTAACCCACAACACGAGACTGGTACGTCGAGCGAAATAATCCAAACAAAGAAACCCTCATATATATACCATATGTCTCAAATTATGAATCGCTAATCATTGATCCTAACCTAAGAATAAAATAAAGTAATACATAAAGTAAAGACATTCATAATATCGTATTTATAATATCTTCCACTATCACCGGGAAGATAAGATAAATATCAGCATGAAATCCCACGTACTTTCAAAGACAAAGTACCTCAGTCATATATCTCCGTAGTGAGATATATACATAACTGGCATCCGCTAAAGACTCAGGCTATCAACAATCGTCTCAATGCAAATCCTTACAAGATTCTGATTTCATTACATTATCATGTGCAACGGACTACCCTGTAGGTATCCTAAATAGTATACATGGCTCATTAGTCTCATAGTGATCTCAGTGCATAACATGAGTGTGGGACGACCTACCATGTAGCTATCCTAAAAGACAGCTCACAATGCTCATCGCACCCTTATGCGGACGGACTGCTAGACAAAGCATCCAAACCCGACTAAGTGGCCTGTACAAATAGAATATCGATGCACTACCATACGTAGTACTGAACTGAGCTTATTAACGATATCCATCTTGTATATAAACTATGTATATCTGGTATATCGACACACTATCCCATATAGTACTGAGCTGTGCTCATCAACAATATCCAACATGTGTATAAACAATCTCTAACTTAAATATAAATATAATTAAACCAAAACTCGTCATAATCCCCTTCGGGATACCCATGTGTGTGCAATAACAATGTACTTGTGTATTTGTGAATTCACGTGTACAAAACTACGGCTCGAATCCCACGAACGCATCTCAAAACGGTGCAAAATCAAAACTCAGAAAAATCTAGAAAAATAGCCCGTAAGTCGACTTATGCCTAGCATAAGTCGACTTATGGCAAGTCGACTTATAAGTCAACTTAGTCGACTCCCAAGTTGATGTTTCGATGTTTTTCATGCTATTTCTCAAACAAAACTCGTTCTAATTAACATGGAACATAGGAAACAGGTTATAAACTTCTATAATTAATTAACAGAGATCAGTTTACATAATCTAACACTTGTATTAAAATTAATTAGGGTTAGATACAAGATTAACCAAAAATTTCTCAATTAACTCATATATTACCGACATGATTATCATAGCATGATCAATTATAAACATGAACAGAGGTATAAAAATCATTTAAGCATACATATATTACTCGGGTATCATCAACCTAGGGTTTAAGCATAATTAACCTACATGTATATCTTAATTAAACAAAAAATTAGGGTTAAAGCATGAGTTAATCATAATTAACAAGTTAAAAACGAGAATTAGAAGCTACCCTAATGATCATGATCATAAAACTATTATAAACAACAAGCAACAATTGTAGATCTAGCATGGGTTTAAGATTAAACATCAAAAATCTAATCTTTATCATGTAGGATCATGATTAAACATGTAAACATCTTGAAAGCATTGTTAAACTAAGGGGATGGGTTTGGACAAAGATAATCTCGCCTCAGGTCGTTGTTGAACTTCCCCAACACGCGTGCAATATCTCTTCTTCGATAAAAGCCCACGATCTCTCTCCATCTGCTCAAATTCGCATCTCAAATGCCTCAAGGATCACCAAAAATAGGATCTAGGGTTTAAGGGGAGAGGGTGGCTGTATTCTCACATGAAAAGTGCAGAAATTAGGATTTAGAAGAGTATATATAAGCCTAGGATCGAAACCAAACGAATCCGACCCGAAACCCAATAGAAACCTAAAAATCAACCTATAAGTCGACTTACGATTATGATTAGTCGACTTATGGTAAGTTAACTCATAAGTTGAATTAGGGTAAGCCGACTCATAAGTCGACTTAACAGAGGCTTATCACATATTTTTTTGGTTTCGTTCATTTTCGTGCATGTTTCTCTCCTCCACTCACATATATACATTGAATTGATCTCAAACCAATTCCTAGTATACTTAAATATTAAAATATATTATTTATCACCATATAACATATTTATTTATTATTTATCACATAATATTCAAATTCATGGGGTTTTACAGTGAATTTGTGGGAAGGGATCAGATGCTCATGTCTGACTTTGAACTTCCCTTTGGAGCTAATTGATGAGGAGCTTCAACTCATCATGGCTCTGTTAGAGAGAAGGCTCGAGGTAGTACATGGTTTTGTGGAGAAACTATGACTACCCCTACTCCAGCGATACCTATAAATCAGGATTGAAGGGTAAAGACACCTGCATCCAATAAAGCTTGGATATTATCCTTCAAGATGTAGCATTTAGAGGTAGGATAATGAACCATCCTGTGGTACACATAATAGTTGGGATCAATCGTTCTCGACATCTCCTCAGGTCGCATCGATTCTGGGAGCTTGATCTTTTTTGCATTGATAAAGGATTTGAGTATCGGGATGACTTGCTCACCTTGAAAGTCGTACTTCTGCTGAAAACGACTATCCAAAGATTTGCCCTTCTGCTTTGATGAAGATTTAAGGGAGGAAGTGGTTTTTACTGTCAAAGCATCTTTCCCTTTTACATAAGTCAGTGGGGTGAGGTTGTCTTGGTCATCACCTCTTTGAAATTCACATGGCTCTTCAGCATCTATACGCTTGAGCATGCTCTCGACTTGTTCTTCTTGGCAGATTAAGTCTTTCCATGAGTGAGCCTTAACAACGCCCATATTGGACAGAATGTTAATAGAGAAATTGTTTCGACACATCTCAATGAGAGTGGCCTCAGAAACCTGATCACGAGAATGCAGTGATCGGTTCCTGAATCTCCTGACAAAGTTACTTACGGACTCTGTCTTCTTCTGCTTTTCAGCTAGCAGGGTGGTTATAGATACTTCTGTGTCATCGTCAAAGAACCTGGCCATGAATATCCTTTCCATGTCCTTCCAGCAAGTGATGGATACGAGCTCTAATTTGCGGAACCATTCAAAAGCGACCCCCTAGAGGGTACTAATGAAAAGTCGAGTCATAATGGGATCATTTCCCACTATGTGTCTGGTTTGCACCTAGAAGTAGTAGATGTGCTGAGTAGGAGAACACTTGTCATCGAACTGTACGATATTGAGTGGCTTAAACTTTGGAGGATAGGGAATAACGTCCCATTTGGTAGGGTATGGCCTGATGACCCTCAGTTCTCTGAAGTTTCTCTAAAGCTTCAAAGCCTCAAACTGCTTCTGGAAATCATCCAACTTCTGATCTCGGTCATTCTTATGCGGATTGGACTTAGCTTTGGATGATTCAGAGTGAATATCAAAAATCTTTTCCTCCTCATCTTTGTCATTATCGCCATCTTTATTTCGATGGCTATATTTCTGGGCACTGGGTGAAGGTCGTCGGTGCCTTGATCCTGAGGAATCAGCGGTAGCTTTCTTCTTCTTCTTCTTCTCCTTGAGGAGTTTGTGCACTATGTCCTCCAACCGTCTGATGGTTTCTTGTTGTTGGAGGAGAGCAGCTTGTTGTTCTTCCAGCCTTCTTGCTATTTCTTCTTCTTTCCCAATCATGTGAGTGCTCACTTTCTCACTTTGATCTATGCTAGATGGCTGAGAATTTACAATGACAGAGTTTTTAACCTCTTCATTGGTTTCATTTTCTAAATCTTGGTAATCAAGAGGAATTACCGAACCAGTATGGGCATGGGTGTGATAATAGACACCGTCTCGCTCAGTGACTAAATATTTTATCCCTAGAGAAAATTTAGGGTTAGAAGAATAGGAAGGACCAGCTGGCCCTTTACCTTTCCCTCTACTAATCATGTTGACAGTAACCTTCACATGTTCCTTCTGATTTTTGTGGTGAAAGCGTCTTCTTCTGGATGGCGAAATTGTTAAAGGTTCAGACAATCGCTCAAAGACTGAGGACCTTGGTATTGGGCCGCTACACTGGCATTTGACTAGCACTAAGGAGATAAGTTTCTCACAACTGCAATTGGATTTCATCTGGATTATACTGCACTTATGAACCAAGTAATCACGGAGATCCATAACAGGACCACCCCCTGTTAACTCAGGTAGCTTGCTTATGCATGCGTAATAATCCTTAAGTGTT